TTCCCCGCCGCCATTACTGTCATTTTCAACTTTATCGAGTCATAGACAAAGTGTATCAGCTGGGCTCTAACAGACAAAAACCTCTCTCTGGGTCTCAGTGGGCAAAGAGCCCTGAGATCTGGGTGTCATGGGTATTTATCTTCTGGGCTGGGCACTGGAGACTCCTTATTGGCCAGTTACTTACTAGCCCTAACCCTGACATGAACAGGCCAGGTCCGAGTTAATGTTTATGTCTATACATTTGGCAGACGCTTTTATCCAAAGCGACTTACAGAGTAGACACAATATTACATTTATCATCACTATGATCACTATATCACCCCCCCGTCTCACCACCGCCTCCCACTGTTAGCCTGAATTTTTACTTTGAAACCTGAGAATAAACAAGAGTGGATCAAAAGTATAAAGCTCTCTCTCAGAGTCTCAGTTGGGTCTCAGTTGGCAAAGAGCCTCGAGATCTGGGTGTCATGGGTTTTTATCTTTTGGGCTGGGCACACACCCTCAAAAAAGACTGGACACGACTGAGTGCTTATTAGCCAGTTACTTACTACCCCTAACCCTGACATGAACAGGCCAGGTCCTAGTTAATGTTAATGTTTATGCATTTGGCAGACGCTTTTATCCAAAGCGACTTACAGAGTAGACACAATATTACATTTATCATCACTATGATCACTATTTCACCCCCCCCGTCTCACCACCGCCTCCCACTGTTAGCCTGATTCTTTACTTTGAAACCTGAGAATAAACAAGGGTGGATCAAAAGTTTAAAGCTCTCTCTCAGGGTCTCAGTTGGGTCTCAGTTGGCAAAGAGCCCCGAGATCTGGGTGTCATGGGTTTTTATCTTCTGGACTGGGCACACACCCTCAAAAAGGACTGGAGACTCCTAATTGGCCAGTTACTTACTACCCCTAACCCTGACATAAACAGGCCAGGACATAATTAATGTTGATAACATTGAAATGTGGTAACAGATAGTGAGTGTTTGTGTTGACCCGATGGAATCTGACAACAAATAGTGTGGATCTAATGCAATCGGAGAAAGAAAACAGAGTCTATGGACACAGCCAGAGACTTTAACACAAAGTTATGGTGCTATAAGGAACACAACAGTCAGTATTTTACATAGATCTGTCACGACGTGGCTCTCAGGGAGGATTCAGTTGTAGAGGACAGGTTCAAAAGTGTTTTAATGAAAAAAAAAAAACGCACTCAAAAGGAGTGGATGACCAGACAAAGTTCAAACAAGGCAGACAAGACTATGAACAAAGTATCAAATCAAGTAAACAGGACGATGAACAAAGTATTAAATCAAAATCTCTTGTGACCGAGGCAAAAACAAAACTGTGAATAAAGTGCAAAATCAAAAACTCTTACGAGGCGTGAACAAGTCGAGGAACGAAAACGAGGGGAAACGAGGACTATTTAAACACATGAGGGAAGGGAACCCCAGGTGTACACAACTGGTAATCAAGGATGACATGACAACACACCAGAAATTCCCCTAGACGTGACAGGATCATGTTATAGCATGCTATGCTAAAGTGACTAATTATAACCAAATCTTAACACCACCCACAGACGAACTACCCGGTGGACGCCAAGAAGAACCTGAGTAACTTCTCGGTGGTTTTGGACACCCCGGAGTACAAGCGCGTGACGGAGCTGAAGACCCACATGAGCAACGTGAGTACCCCACCCCCCGAACACGCCGTGGTCTTCTTCTGCTTTGGGCAGAAACCCGGTGACCTCTGCTTTTTATCTCCTCAGCTGATCTACAAAGCCGAGAGCAAGGAGGAAATGGCCCGGGTCTGCTCCACCGCGGACTCTCTGGACATCCAGAGGGTCAAGTGGGCCCAGCAGCTGACCAACAAGGCAGGTTTCCACACAGAGCGGCCCGTTGGATACAGAGTTCCCAGCATGCATCGCTCTCAGACCTAACCCCCCTTTTTGTTCCACAGTACCTGTACACAGATCTGGCTACCAAAGAGAGGCCTCACTTCACCCACGACAGCGACACTCCCACCAACCAACATGCCAGGAGGATGAAAATGGTCTACAGCGATGTGAGCATCAATTTCTTCTTTTTTTTTAACCCATTCATGCATAAATTGAGATCCTTTCACCGAGGATTTATGTTTTAAAAGGTTTTTGTTCAGCATCTTGTCAGGATTGGGAACTGGAAGCAGGACTCAGGCGCAGAGAGGTGGTACCAAAAAGGTTTTATTGAACCAAAAAGCGCC